TTTGCCGAAGGCGGAGCGGGCTCCGCGAGCGGTAGGGCGGGCTGGGGGTCTTCTCCAGCATCACAGCTCGCACGGGGAACAGGCTCCGGGCCGGCGCAAGGCCCCGGAGGCGCCTCTGTTGCTGCAGGAGGCATGGCCGCCGGCTCCGAGGCCGGCTCTGACGCGGCCAGGGCGGCGGAGGCGGCGGTGTCTCCACGGCGGGTGTTTCTCCCAGCTCCGGCTGGGGCAGAGGAGGAGGCCGCATGGCTGCGGGCGGGCGGACCGGCAAGGGAGGCGCTGTCCCCACCTCCGCTGGGGCTGGGAGGGGCTCCACCCCCTCCGAGGGGAGGAGCGGGGGCTCACCCTCTGCAGGGGGAGGCTTCTCTTGCAGGGAGGCAGGAAAAAACTGAGCCCCTGACAAAGGCACTCCCCCGCTCTCTGCGTGGGGTGGCTCCCGCAGCGAAGACTGTCCTTGGACAAGCTGATCTCCGTCCGACCATGACGGGGGGGGCTGAAGGGCTCTCCACCCTCTGCAGACGTGCTCACTGGGATCCATCTCTGGACTATCCGAAAAAGCTTTAAAAAAACTACCATGTACCGAACTGCTCAGAAATCTCACAGGATGCATCACTTGACAATGAAATACAGGGATTTCCAAGCCTCTGGATTCAGCGAAAAGGCCGGACTCTTGAAGAAAACACATCTGTCTGCAAATTCAAGAAACTCTCAACAAATTATCATTGAACACAGTCTCTCCATGGTTCCAAGCCAAATCTCTCCAGATGGCATATATACAGTGATCCACACAATAAAAATCACTGTCCAAGTCAGCAGACATCTCTTCCTGAAGTTAAAGTCCACCCCAGGTCAGGGCAGTATTGTAATCAGAAAATCAGTACCTTTTCAAAGGCAAGCAGAGGCATCCGATTGTGGCAAACTCCTTGGGGCTGCACCTGGTCCTATAGAGAGGGTTCCCACGGTGTCTTACCTTCCCCAATCCCTCACAGGGACTTCGGACATGCCTTTTCAAGAGGGTTCACCTCCTTTCCCATGTTAAATCATGGCTGTGGACTGAACCAGGTCCTGATTCTTCATCCAACGTTTGGGGTCACCACTTACTGTAAATGCAGGCAAACACAATGGGAAGAAATGACGATGTCTGACCCAATTCAAAAGGCTGAATGATTTCTTTATTATAACTATGCTAAAATACATTAATATACTATATAAAAAGGAAGATACTAAAATGACATACTGTTTTCTCTAACTCTATAACTCTAACACAACTCATGATCCTCTCGCTCAAGTCCAGTCACAGGTGGATTGGATTGACCATCAGGCTCAAACAATCCTCACCAGAATCCAATCAAGCAATCACTCCAGGTAAACAATCCTCCAAACACATTCCACATAGGAAAAACAAGGAGCAGAAATAGAAATTGTTTTCTCTTTCATTTCTCTCTGTGAACCTCTATGAAAAATCCTGAGAGGGAGAAAAATGTGCTTACCACAGCCATAGGTGAGTTTTCAAGTCTCCTCTACTAATAAAGCTACTGCAACTAAAGCTTGTAAACATGTTGACCATCCCCTACTTATGGGGACCAATAATTTAGAAAAGTATCCTATTGGTTTTTTGCTTCCTGCCCAATCCTGGGACAATACCCCATAAGCAGTTTGGTTTGACATATCCACAAATAATTGAAATGGCCTACTGAGATCAGGCAAACTCAAAACTGGGGCTGTTATTAAGGCATCTTTCAGTTGTTCAAGCCATCTTTCAACTAGGGTGCATTTTAAAGAATTTAGTGTCAATTTTTCATATAAACAATTTTTCACTATGTCCTTCTATCCACTGTCTACAATACCCCAACAGTCCTAATAGCTGCCTAGTTTGTTTCTTTGTAGTTGGTACAGGTAATGAAGTAATACCTGATACTCGATCTGGGTTGAGTTTGCTAATCCAATGCCCCAAATACTTAGCATCTGGTTCTACAAATTGCAGTTTTGATCTTGATACTTTAAACCCTTTATCTCCAAGAAATTTTAATGACTTAATGGCTCCTTCCTGGACAGTCTCCTCTGAATTCTCCTGCTATTAATAAGTTGTCTACATACTGTAATAACTTAATATCATCGGGAAGTTGAAGAGCTTGTAAAAGTTTCTCCAAGGCCTGTTGAAACAAATTTGGGAATTCTGTAAATCCTTGAGGGAGCACAGTCCTCCTAAGTTGCTGTCTCCATTTGGTTTCTGGATATTCTCATTCAAATGCAAAGTAATCCCTACTTCCAAAGGACAGGCCCAAAAAGCATCTTTCAAATCTACTGTGCTGTACGTGGTGTGTTACAGTGTGCTCAGGATATGCTTTACCCCTTTTTCCTGGGACCCCTATGACTGGAATCAGATAAATGTGGTCCCTTCCTCCCTGCTCTCATGGGGTTGGTGGAGAACCAGAAAGCCCTCCCTGTCCAGAGCCTAGATAAGGCCATGACCCTTCCTGTTCTCTCTCTTTTTCCCCTCATCTCATAAAATAAAGAAGCTGGACAACTACACTGGGGATTAGAGTCTTTTTTGTACCTTTGCCCATCTCCTGACATGCCTTCCCTCAAGGCCCCGTATATCTGGGCTAGCCTAGTAATTTGGGGGGCTGAGAGGGAGGAGCATCAGAGGTGTTCTTTGGGGATACTTGGTTTAATAATGTATAGGGGTTGGCTATTACTGGTCATCTTGTTATGGGATACTCAGTGGTCTTACCCTTTGCATGTTTTAGAGTAGATGCTCTTGCCCCATCAACCAAAAAAGACAGCCCCTACCATCTATGAATTAATTGCCCAATTAACTATGAAATGCCACCAATGATGTTTGCAATTGTGTCTTGGTTCGACAAGACAGGAGTCTGTGAAGGAGGGCTAAAGCCTCCTGTGCAATGGAGAAGGTAAACCCCCTCCCTCCGAATTACTAGGATTTTTAAATTAAAAGGCTCTCAGGCAAAGATATGGGAATGGGAGTAACAATTCTTTATTAGGAGAAAACTAGATAACAATTTAAAAAGGCAAATGCAATCGGTACAAACAAAACTAGTGAAAAAGTCCACAACCTGAGGATTCGGGGTGTTAGTAGCAGTCCAATTGGGATGATTGCTCCTCTTGCAGTGGTTGATGAGTTGCAGCTGCAGTGGTGATCTTTTGAAGGGTATAGTTTTCCTCTGAAGATCTGGTGGCAGTGGGGCTGGTCTTCCTCTGTGCCGGGGTTGCCTCCGAGCTCCGCCGCTGCTGCCTCAGCGCGCTCCGGCTGCTTCGCTGCGAGTGCCGCCGAAAAGAGCTGCTTCTCTGGCAATCCCCCAAAGTAAAGAGCTGCTCTGTCCCCAAAAAGGTACCCCCTTATATCCAATAAAAGAGTGCTTGGCTTCCCCCTCTGGGTGGAACATCTCACAATAGGATGGTGTTATGTTACCAGCCCTGCATTGAATCAGTCAATGGCCCACTAACAAACCATTACCTCTTAGGAGCAAAACCAGTTCTTGGAAGAGATAACAAACCTGCCCAACCTTCAACAGATGGCAAATAGAATACAAGCTTATCTTACAACCCAGGACAAATTGAATGCAAAAAATCCATTTAAAATAATTTCACCTGTAAAGCAAGAGGAATTTGAATGGTGCTATGCCAACAGCACATCTTTGCAAAGTACTTTACAAAATTTCAAGGGGCAAATTTGCTACCATTTCCTGAGTCATATATTGCTACAAATGAGTAAGACCACTGAGTTATCCCTAAAACCCCTGAACAGCCAGACACATTTAAAGGGAATTACTGTATTCACTCATGGATCTGGGAAAATGGGAAGGGCCATTTTAGCATGGAAGGAGATGACTGGCAAATATTGGAAGGACAAGAGAATGGGTCATGTCAATTAGTAGAACTGCATGCTGTAACCGTGGCTTTTCACACACTCCTTTGAATATAATTACTGACTCTGCATATGTTGTAGATATAACACAAAAAATGGATTAGAGCTCTATTAAAGGAAGTTAACAACACAAAGTTATTTGGCTTGCTAAAAACCTTGTGGCACACTATTCAAGCCAGACCTTGCCCTGATTATATCCTCCATATTAGAAGTCATACAAATCTCCCAGGTTTTTTTACAGAGAGCAATGCATGAGCAGACCACCTGGCTGGCCCTGCCTGGACAGCACCACATCCAGATATGCTGGCTCAGGCACAGGCATCACATGCCTTATTCCACCAAGGCATTTGAGCCCTTCTAGTCTGGCAATGTCCAGAACCAACTGGACAGTCCAGGCAATGTGTTCGTTTGCTCAATTACTTCTGTTTCCACTGCAGTGATTCCAAAAGCCCATCGATATCCCTTTGGGTCTCTGAAGCACCTGCTCCCGAGGTAGTCAATGCCCAGGATCCATGGGGCATCTGCGCCACTTACAATGGGGTGTTTCTGCCAGTCCTTTCCAATCAGGGAATATGTGTAAAAGTGCATAAAGCTGATGCAATATCAGGGGTATAAAAGAAAGAGCTGCCATTTTGTGCACAAGTCTCTGGCATTTTGCCACGCTCCCAGCACTGTCCCTTTTGCTGATTTTTTTGTTCTCAGTAAAACTTCTCAAACTCATTCCCACTTGGGGCCTGGGTTGTTTATGACAGGTGGTCTGCCAGAGTGATCACCCACTTCTTTTGTTAATTCACTCACCTGCCATCCATCCCAGTGGCATCACTCCCTCCTTCTTCCAGCATCTTTCAGATGCCAAAGGGAAAAATTCACTAACAAGCCTAAACCCATATTACAACCCCAGCGTGGGACAGGTGGGACAAGGAACCTCAAGGCTTCTCCAGCCCTGGGGGCAGCTCGTCCCAAACATCCCTGACATCAAGAAAGGATAGAAAACACCATCTTCTCAGAAACATTGTTTATTGGAAAATCTAGTCAATGCAAATGGAACCCCAAAACCATGGGGAATTGGCGCTGGTTCCTGGTGGGTCTGGGCCTAGGAGGGGATTGCGCTGGTTCAGCTGTCGGCTTTGTGCTCCACCTGGGCACAGTACTTTTCAGGCATTCCAGTGGCTCTGCAGAGGAAAGAATCCATCAGGGTCCCGATGGATCTGAGACCATGGCCCCACAGCAGGTCCCGTTTGCTGAGGATACCGAGGGAGCTGGGAGGTGGCCCAGGCTGGGACACCAGGAAGGACTCGGAGGGCCCCAGGAGCCCAGGCAAGCAGCACTGGCAGCCCCTGACCTGAACTCCTGCAGCTTCTGCTGCCTGAACTGGGCGAGGCGCTGGCTGCGCTGCCGGACCTCCTGCTGCTGCTGCCGGCCCTCGGCAATGAGGGCCGCCCGCTCCCGCTGCCGCTGCTGCTGCAGCTCCTGGATCTGCTGCCGGAGATATTCAGCATGGGCACGCTGCCGGAGCTCTCTCTGCTCCCACTCCAGCTTCTCCCGCTCCAGCTGCTCCTGATGGGCCCTGCAGGAGAGCGGGCTGGCTCAGGGACCCTGCCACAGCCCCCCACACCTGGCACAGCACCTGGGCTGGCACCGGAGTCTCCAGAGCCACTAGCTGGGACTAGGAGCCACCTGGCCACTGCCTCAGCCATCCCTCAGTCCTGTGTGCCTCACCTGAGCACCCTCTGGAATTCCTGGCGGTCCTGCTCCACCTGCATGGCCAGGTACTGCTCCTTCTGGGCCACCTGCTCCAGCCAGTCCTGCTTCAGCTGCTGCGCCAGCTCAGCCTTCTTCCGTGCCTTCTCCAGCTCCCGCCGCCGCCATTCCCGGTCTGCGACCTCTTGGTTCCTCTTGGCCCTCAGAGCATCCTGCCCAAATAGGGGACAGTGCTGGGCTCCCCTCAGGGGCAGCTATGGAAGCCCTTGGCCGTGGCTTCGGCTCTGCCAGCACCGCTCCAGGACATGCCCTGGCTCCAGGGGCTGGTCCTGCAGACCCCCCACATCCAGGGGTGCTGGGGTGATGACAGGGACAGTGGCAGGGGAGCACGTCACCTGTGCCTGGGCCACTCACCTGCTCTGCCTGCCAGTCCTGGGCCCGCTGCTGTGTGACCCTGAGCTGGGCCAGCTCCTTTTCCTTCTCCAGGCGCAGTTGTTGCTGCTTTGCCTCCAAGGCAGCCTCGCGCTCCTATGGGGGACAGATACCCGGGATGGGACAGAGTCCCAGATTGTGGGACAGAACCCTGGGATGAGACAGAGCCCCAGGACAGCTCCTGCAGCCCCTGCCCACCCCACCAGGAGCCCGCTGCTCTTACAGCCTTCTGCCGCTGCTGCTTCAGCACTTGCTCGTCCTCCAGCCTGTCCTGTTCCCACTGTTGATCCTTCAGCCTCTGGCTCTCCACGTTGAAACGTTTAATATCTGCATGGATTTGCTTTAATCGCTCCTGTTTCTGCTCCCAGGCCTGGAAATGCCATGCAGGGTTAGAGACCACCAAGCTGAGTGGTCCTTCCTCCTCCTCACTCAGGGCAGGCAGGCTTTGGGCCACCTCCCTGGGATGTCACAATGTCCCCAAGGGACGAGAGCTCTGACCCTGCTGGCTGCTGTCCCTACTCCCTGTGTGCGGCTGATCCAGCTCTGCCAATATCTTTCCAGCCGGTGGAAACTTCACTGCACCTCCCTCTTCTCTGCTCCCACCTTCCGATCCTCCCTCTTCATCTGCTCCAGTCGCTCCAGCTGCCTCTGGCCCTCCTGGTACAGCTCCTCAGCCCTCAATGCCTGCTCCTCTGCCCTCTGCTCCATCTGTTTCACAATGTCATGCCGGGCTCTGGGAATATGAGAGCAGAAGGGTTTCCTCTGGCTCCATCCTGCTCCCCATCATGGGAACGCTGGCATGGACAGGGCTGGTGTGGTTGGAATGGGCCAGATGCCTCCATGGGGAAGAGGGAGCCTTCTGCCCACCTTATCAGCTCCTGCTTCCTCTGGCGCTCCAGCTCCTCCTGGACCTCCATGCCCTTCTCCCGCTCCATTTCCATCATTTTGTCCAGGCGCTTCTCCTCCTCCACCAGTTCCTTGTGGATCATCCGCTTCTCCAGGACTTGCTTGTCCCGGATCATGTTGCACTTGGCATTGAGGAACAGCTGCGGGGACAAGAGGGGTCTGTGGCTCGGAGATGCACTGGGATACAGGGAGCAGGGAGGGCCAGGGAAGGAGAGGAAGAGCCTGGGAGCACGAGGAGCAGGGAAGGCTCAGGCAGTGCCAGGTGACAGCGGGGAGCACTGGCCCTACCGCGTTCAGTTCCCGCACGTCTTCCTCCTGCTCCAACCTCATCCTTGCCGCCCGCTGCAGCAGCTTCTGCTCCTCCTGCTGCAGCACCTCCTCCACATCTCTCCGATGGTCCCTCTTGTCTTCCAGTTCTGCCTTTCTCTGCTCCTCAATCTGGGCCTTTTTCAGGGCTTCCTGCAGGGACAGACAGCACTGCCCAATCCTGGACACCTTCTCAAGGGCCCACAGGGGTCACACTTCAGGTGCTGCATTCCCAGCACTGAGTGGGGACATGTTGGGCTCATGCGCCCCTGGCACAGCCATGGGCACCCCTCCCCACACCTCTGGGCAGATATCCTGTGCCTTTGGAAGGCTGGCAGTGCTGGGCATAATTTCAGGGATGCTGCCCAGCTCTCAGTGGAGCCCTGAGCCCTGCAGCCTCCCCTATGCCCCAAAATGTGGCGGACAGAGGGAGGGTCCCCTGCAGGAGCCACCACCCCTCAAACCCAGCTGTGGAGAAGGAAAAGGGGAAGCAGGAAGGGAAATGCCTACAAAAGCTGCCTCCTGTCTGGCTCTCAGGGTCTTCAGCCTGTCCCAGTGCTCCACCTCAGTCGGGGCTCGAGCTGATTCCTTGATCCTCTCGTATTCCTTTTCTCCAACGATGAGAGATGGTTTGGGCCTCTCTTGGGGAATGCTGGGGAGCCCAGGGAGAGAGCTCAGTGGCATGGAGATGCCAACAGCTCCCTGTGCTCCCTGAGCTGCCCAGCCACCAAGCCAGCCCAGATCAATTTGGGAAGTGTTGGGGAAGCCGTGGGGACCTGGCTGTCTTGTTTTGGGGTGAGGCAGGAAGGGAAAGTGTGGTGAAAGTGGCACCAGGCTGGGATGCAGGGGGCAGCATCCCTGGGGGTGGCCAGGGCACACTGCCAATCCCAGAGATTTTGGAATGCTGCACTGACACCCATACCCCCAAAACCCCTCAGGGCTTGGGCAATGGCTTACACAAGGCTCCGGATAAGGTCCCTGGTGATGATTCTGGTGCTCTTTGGTTTGTATCTGATGGAGGACTGCAATTCAGGCTGTTTGGGCATATCCTGAAGGATCACAATGGGGCTGCTGTAGCCCGTGACCTGTGGGAAAGGACAATGTGAGGGATATGAAATCCCCACACTCAGTGCTCCTTGGACACCGACTGATCCTGGGAGGAGCTCTGGACCCTGGGTCAAGACATACCCTTGGGTCATGGACCGAACGTGCCAGAGGGGTTGGGGGTCAGGGGGAAATGGGGACAGACCTTGGGAAGGAGGGACTGAAATCCTGGTGGGTGAAGCTGCTGATGGCAGGGAAGGAGGGACCCCCGGGAGGAGTTTTCCAGACAGAGGGGCTGAGATTCTGAGCCGGCAGTTGCAGCTGCCATGGCGCTGTCACAGAGCGTGGGAGGTATGACGATGTCCTGGAGCCAACATCCCAATGTGATGGGACTGACGGTTAGCATGTGTCTAAACCGATTGTGACAGCATGCCCAAAGCCACCATCGCGACATGTTGGGACTGAATGTTGCCATGGCAGTGCCCCCAGCAGCTTCCAGGACTCACTGCATGTCCTGGAGCAGATGGGGGATGGGGGACAGGGGGAGTTGGTATGGAGCTGGGAAGGGCAAATCCAAGGGAAGGCAGAGATGAAATTGTGGCAGCCAAGAGAAGCTTGAGTGTTATAGATACATAGTATAATATTGGCTTTTTCCAAATATTACAATGGATTTTATATGTGTGGTGTTAACTTTGTTATAAAGATATAATTTTTATTTCTGTTGTTAATTGAGCTTAGACATACTAGTGAAATACCTGATAAAAGCATGTTTGTGTTAAAATGCCTGCTGGGGTGGGGTAACATCCAATGAACATAGGATAAGGACTCCCGCTGCAGATTTGCCAACTATCAGCACTCACTGTCTGAAGACAGTGTGGATGGACATGGACCAAGGTCAAAAAACTGGAGGTGATAGGAATGGACTAAAACCACAACCAACAAATACACATGCTCTAAAAAGGCAGATCCAAGGAGGAAATATGTTAAATAGTTCATGGAACATGTAAACTAGTTAGGGAAAAGTTTACTATGCATAAGGGTCAGTGACTATACAACAGGCTGGTGTAAGGGAAAAGGTATTTAAGAGGTATCCCCAAAGGTGACAGTGCGCTCTTGGCTGAGTGTCAAGATGCACCCGGCCGTAATAACCTTTACTCTATGGTCCTTGTGTCCTATTGTCCTTTCTTCAATTTTTAAAATTTTCACAGGAGTGTGAACATGTTTTTCCTACTGAGGCTGGGAGACGAACAGCCCTGCAGGGAGGAAGGAGTGGCACAAGGGGCTCCAGAGATTCCCCCACAGCCCATGGGGGTCCCTGGGGAGCAGAGACCCACCTGCAGCCCTGCAGGAGCCCCCAGCTGAGCAGGTGATGCCCAAAGGGGGCTGTGAGCCCATGGGAAGCCCCTGCTGGAGCAGTTCCCGAGGCACTGAGCCCAGTCAAGGAAGGGCCCCAGCCTGGAGCAGCTGGGGCAGAGCTGCAATCCATGGGAAAGTCTCCCACTGCAGAAATCCCTGGAGAAGGGTCTCCCATGGAAGGCAGGGACCCCACGTTGGTAGAGCAGGGCAAGGACTGTGACTGCTCTGGCTGAGCAGCAGCAGAAACATCCTGTGCTGAACTGCCCAGGGCCCCTGTTCCCACCTCCCTGTGCCAATGGAGGGAGGAGGGAGAGCCCAGGAAGGAGTTTGGGGTGGGAGAAAGGTGTTTTGAAGGGTTTATTTAACTTTTCCTTAGCCTGCTCTGATTTTGTCACCAATAAATTCAATTCATATTGCTAATTCTGAGCCTGTGTTTCCTGTGATGATGAGTGATCCTTCCTGGTCCTTGTCTCAACCCAGGAATATTTTGTTCAATTTTCTCTCCCCATCCAGCTACCATGGGCAGTGAGAGAGAGGCTGTGGTGGGTGTGGAGCATCCGGCCACTGTTCACGCAGAGCAAAGCAGGAAGAAGGAGGAGGGTACAGGTCAGGTTGTTGAGCAGAGTGTTGTGGAAATTGGAGTAGTTTTGTGATTCTCTCAGACCCTTGGGGACAGGGACAAAATTATCAATTTCAGTATTTCTGGACTGGCTCCCTCTCAGCTGCCCCTGCAGGGGGGGTTTCCAGCCAGCCCTGCCCTAAAAACCATCCAAGGCCCTCACAGAGCCATTGCTTGGACTCCCTTTGGGTTTTGTGCTTCTTGCAGGGCTGACCAAACCACAGCCAGGCCATTTCCCCCACAGAATTCTCACCTCTAAAGCTGCCAGAATCAAAGCCAAGGGGGCTGGGGGGACCCTCAGGTCCAGGCTGCCACCTGGGGCTGGCCAGAGCAGGGCTGGCCAGTGGCCACCCCCTGTGCAGTGGGGCTGGGCCATGGCTGGGCCCCAGCTGTGACATGATTATTCTCCTGCACGGTGGGGGTGTAGGGAGGCAAAGATCTCTGAAGCTTGCTCTTGGGGAGAGAGGTTTATTGGAGGATTCAGGAATGCCCGAGCCTCGTGCTCTCAGGCGTAGCACGTGGCTGGGCTTAGAAGGACGGGAGAGGGGAGAGAGAAACAGAGGGTTTAGAAGAGGGGAAGCCCCAGGGCGGGGAGGAAGTCCAAGAGAGGAGGAGAGGGCCAAGAGGCTGCATGGCCCCTCGGAGCCCCCTTTTCAGGGGCTCCTAGGTGGGCTGGGACAAGGCATGGGCCAATGGGGTTACAGACTCTGATGCTTCAGGGGCAGGTACAGGGGTGTGGGATGAGCCACAATCTTTTGGGGGGTAGGATGGAACAGTCCATTTCACTCCAGGATTCATCCAAGGGTAGAAGTGACATTCGGCTAGCTAAGATAACAATCATATCTATCTATCCTCTGCAACACCCAGCCTTGGACTGACAGGGGTGTCCAGGATGTGCCACCCCTGGGACAGGCACCCAGGCAGGATTTAATGAACTGCTACCAACATCCTGACCCACAGGCTGTCAGGTTGTATTCTGATTCAGTCAGTGTTTAAATAACTGCTTTTTATTTTTATTTTTATTTATTTTCATTTTCATTTTCATTTTCATTTTCATTTTTATTTTTATTTTTATTTTTATTTTTATTTTTATTTTTATTTTTATGAGAAACAACTGCTCACTTAAAAATTTTAACAGGTTTATTAAACCTTAGCAAAAATACAACAAAATTACTAAATAAGGAAAAACAGGCCTGGGAACCCCCCCCCGGTGGCTGCCTACCATGTGGCTCATCTTCAAGATGGGTTCTTTGCCTTTTATACCTCTGCGGGTTGCATCAGCCAACCCTGGCCCCTCCCAAAGTCTGTCGGTCAACTCTTCTTTGCCGTTTATCGGTGGACTCTGCTTTCTCGCAACTTGATTGGAAGGTCAGGTGTTGTCATGCTGTGCTCCCCCCACTAGCAACAAGCTCTTCCATTATCAACTGCCCCTTGCATGTTGCAAGGGCAGCATGTACATACCTTCCTTTTACCTGTCCTAAATAACTCAGTGGCAACAATACAGAGGGGGGGGGGGGGGGCGGAAAGGGAACTATGGGGAGAACAGAGGACATCTAATCAACAATATAGTTACAATAATGTAACAATACATCAATAAAGCTTCTCTTAATATTCATCACTTAATTGCAAGAGCAAATAATTTCATTATTCATCTATAACAATTTTTAAAATTTATTTTTATTTTTTTAATTTTTTCCTAATAAAGGACTGTTATCCCTACTCCCATATCTTTACTTGAGAGTTCCTTAATTCCAAAATTATCATAATTCAGAGGGATGGGGGTTATATTTTCCATTCAATAGAAGTGCCTACCTATCTTAAAAGCCACCTGTCTTTTCAAACCAAGACAGAGCCCCAAAAATCCTGTAAATCCCACACTAATCTGCTCAACAACCTGATCGGGACCTTCCTCCTCCCTGAATTGAACAGGAGCTAAACAAACAAAAACCATTTCCCCTTCATTCATCAAAAAGCTGCATTTTCGGTCCCATGAGAGGGACAGGGGTGCTGAGCCCTCTGGTACTGGGGAAAGGAATGGGGAGCCCCTGGGGGTGCTGGGAGCACAGGAATGGGGAGCTCTGGGCAGCCCCATATGGGACTCCCCCCACTCATGTCCACCCCCCAGCACGGTGGGCACCCACAGGAACTGGAGGGTGGACACACATGGAGGGTGCCCTCGCACATGGACCTCCAGTGCCCCCAGTGCTCCCCAATGTCACAGCATGTTCTCGTAGATGTCATCAGGGTCCTGCTGTTGCCCGTGGGGTCCTGGCAGCTCCGTGTTGGTCACCTGGGGGGATGTGGCACAGGGAGCACTGCAAGACACCAGTTGGAGGAACCTGGGTGGGAGGTGACACCCATGGGTGACATATCCCTGTCTGCCCCCCGTACTCACCCCCTGCCTTCTTGGTTTTTATGACCTGGCTGTACAGCACCGCCCCTGCCTCTGAGGGGGCCAAGGCCTCTGGGGGGGCCCTGCAGGGATAAGGGGTTGTGTGTGGGGGTGGGGAGGGTCACAGCAAGTGTAAAATGGGGGATCAGACATGGAGCCCCGCACTCACCTTTCCTGCTGCTTCCTGAGGGCTGCAAAAGAAAGGGAGAGGGGTGGCTGTGGAATCCTCCTGAACACTCTTGAGACCTCTGACTGTCCCTGGCAGCCTCGAGCATCCCTGAAGCCCCCAAAAAGCCTTGAATCACCTCTTGAACCCCCCAAGCTCCCAGACTCCCCCAAACCACTGATAGAACCCCCAGCTTCCCTGGAAAACCCTGCAGGACCTCCCCAAATCCCCCAGGACACCCAGATGACATCTCTGGGATTCAGCTTCAACCAAGTAAGGAAATATTGGTGCCACCCTATGGCTCCTGTACTCTGGGGGGGGGGGGGCTTCAGCTCTATCCCTGGGACCCCCATTCTCCCTCATTGTCACCCACCCAGGTGGTGCCACCAGTGACATCCCCCGAAGAGAGCCACAAGCAGGACCAGGATCAGGAGGGACCTGCTGACCCCTGCAGCCACTGCTGGGGACAGAGAGGGACACATCAGGGTCACCCTGAAGTGTAAGGATCCTGTATGCCCCGTGTGACCCTCTCTGAGCCCACCTGTGCCCTGTTCCTGTGTTGTCACCTCCAGGGCCAGCTCTGGGCTGGGTGCCCGGAACATGTGGTGCTCATCCTGTCCCAGCTGGTTGGTGGCCATGCACTGGTAGGTGCCTGAATGTCCCACATCGATGTCCCTGAGCTCCAGGAGGGGACTCTGGGCCACCTCCTGCCCATTGTGCAGCCAGGTGAAGGTGACAGGGGCTGAGCCCACCTGCACCGAGCAGCGCAGGGTCAGGGGATCACCTGCGCGCACCTGGTGTGCCAGGGGACCGGGGGTGATGGTGGCATTGGCCACAGGCACTGCGGGGACACAGACAGGGCTGGCACATGGT